TATGTACCGCATCGTTGGTCAACGTAATCGACGAAATGGACTGTCGTGCACCAAGTAGCAGTCGTCCGTGAGTGAGAAGGTAGCGAAATGGTTATGGGAGTCACAACTTCCGTTGATTTCGCAGAGTTGTAGGCGGGTTCGTCACCTCGACAGAAATTAGTTCTTAGACGAGTCTTGTCCACCCGCTTTTGTAACATGTTCCAAAATGTTTATTTTGACCATATTTTTTTCACCAACCTCGCTCGAACCCCGTTCCAGCTAGCTTGAACGCATTGTTCGCCATTTCCAGCTTGAACAGCTCTTGAACAACTGTGTACCGCGCCCTCAAAGTCCTCTTGCCTGTCCTCAAGGACGTCCGTGCCAAGAGCACACTCACCCCCAACGGACGGAGGACAGACAGACTCAGACTCAGCAACAAGACTAGCGGCGTAGTCGAGACGAGAGCTAGCAGCAAAGACGACAAGCTCAACAACTAGGGCAGACGCAGCAGTTTACTCAAATGAAGGGTCGATGACAACAGTGGCTAGGAGACGGGTGACAGTAGGACTGGCAGCACAAACTAAGTCAGACTCACGGTCTGGACTGTCAGGAAGAGAGGACGCAGGAGGAGATGGCAGGGGAACTCATAGTGGAAAAGAGGAAGGACGAAGTGCCATATGGTGTGTGCCGGGGACAGGAGGAGGACGCGGACGCGGAACACGACGAACAGTGCGAACAGGCGAGGCAGGACGAGACGCAGGCTCACGACGCTCTGTACGGGAGTCTGACTACTCAGTGTAAGGAGAAGGAGCAGGCAGTGGGGAGTCTGGCTATAGCTGTGGCTGCCACTGGTCAAGCGGTGGACACAGCAAGGGAGGAGCAAGGCGAGTAGAAGACGGAAGACTAAGTACCTAGCAAAGTGCCGAGCCAGGTGGCGGCAGAGACGACGAGGACTGCAGAACGAGAAACAGTCGCCGCCGCACAGTGCCTCCAGCACCAGTACCGACAGCTCAAGCACCCCCAGCGCCAGCACCTCCAGCACCAGGGTCTCCACCTCCAGCACCCCCAGCGCCAGCACCTCTAGCTCCAGAGTCTCCAGCTCCAGTACCTGCAGCACCACCAGCTCTAGCAGCTCCAGCACCTCCAGCAGCTCCAGTACCTCCAGCAGTAGCACCACCACCAGCTCCGGCAGCTCCACAACCTCCAGCATGAGCACCTCCAGCACCAGCAGCTCAAGAACCTCCAGCAACTCCAGCACCTCCAGAAGCAGCAGCACCACCAGCTCTGGCAGCTCCAGTACCTCCAGTACGAGCACCTCCGGGACCAGCAGCTCCAGCAGTTCCAGCAGCACCAGCACAAGCAGCTCCAGTAGCTCCATAACCTCTACTACCTCCAGCACCTCCAGCACCAGCAGCACCACCAGCTCCGGCAGCTCCAACGCCTCCATCACGAGCACCCCCGGGACCAGCAGTGCCAGCACCACCAGCACCTCCAGCACCAGCAGCACCAGTGCCTCAAGCAGTAGGGTCTCCAGCTCCAGCAGCTCGACTCCGAAGGCGGGTGCGCCAAGCGTACCACTCGCGTACCACTAGACTGCTGGGGCGAGGAACCAGTAGGACCTCCAGGACTAGTAGCTCCAGCACCCCCAAAACCTCTAGGACCAGCAGTACCTCCAGGACTAGCAGCTCCAGGGCCTCCAGCTCTAACAGCACCACTCCGAAGGTGTGTGCGCCGAGTGTACCACTCGCGCAGCTGCTGTGGTAAGAGAGGCTCCCGTAGTGCAGACGCAGTACCCCTAGGCTCAGCACCCCCAGACTTAGTACCCCCAGGCTCTGCACGCTCAGGCTCAACACCCCTAGGCTCCGCACGCTCAGACGTAGCACCCCCAGGCTCCAAACCCGCAGGCTTAGCACCCCTAGGCTCCTCATACTCAAGCTCAGCACCCCCGGGCTCCGCACTCGAAGGCTCAGCACCTCCAGGCTCCGCACCCGCAGGCTCAGCACCCCCAGACGCAGCACCTCCAGCAGCACCAGAGTCACCAGTGACCTCGACAAGCTCAACTAAGGGGAGTGGGTCTATCTGAGACACACCTGAAGGAGTAGGACCCTGAGGGGGAAGCGGGTCTACCGGAGGAGGACCTGGAGCGAGGAAGAGTGGCGGGTGGGGGAGAGGGGGAGTGCGGTAGGGGAAGAGACGGTAAAAGGGAACCGACTCGTCGAACGTGACGTCCTGAGAGGGCAGGACACGGCGCGAGTGGGGTGGTAAAACTGCCAGCCAGGCGCGTCACGGGGAAAGCCAAGAAAGACGCAGGGAATGGCGCGGGAGGAGACCTTATCCGCGGACGGATCGCTGATGCGCTGCGTACTAGACCGCAAACGGCCACAGAAAATGGGGGGCAGCCGCATGGATCATGGAGGTACGAGCGACCTCCATGACTAAGCCAATGCGGCGCTCAGCAACCCCATTTTGCTGCTGAGAGGCCGGAAGCGTGAACGACTGGAGGATGCCCTCCCCACGACAAAAGTCCCGCAAGAGGTCAGAGAAAAACTCACCACCTCTGTCAGAGTGCAAACGCAGGACAGGAGGGTCCGTGTCGAACCGCTCGCGGAGCTGGGGACGGACAGCGCGGATCCAAGGGATCAAAACATCAGGAACCTCCCCCTTGCTGCGCAAGGGGAAGACCGTGGTGTATCGCGAGTAGTCTGTCAACGGGAGTTGTTGTTGGCCCCGTCCTCGCTTGGGCGGAGCCGACTTTGTGGTTGGGTGTACAGGAGGTACAATCGACTTGTTGCAGTGGGCGACGCCGACTTGGGCGAGCTGGTCGACGGGGTTGGTCGACTTGCACGGGGCCACTGCAATGCCGCCGACTTGGTGGTCGGCGATGTGGCACGTCGACCCGGAAGTCGGCGCCGACTTGCAAGGTCACCGACTTGGGAGGTCGACGGGCATGTACGGGAGCAGCTGGTCGACGTGGTTGCCAAGTCGACCAGGTTACCTGGGTGACGAACTTCTGCGGAGGAGTGCGACGGTCGCCCAAGCGAAGTTGGCGAGTCCGACCTCGGTGGTGGTATCCCGAGGTCGACGTGGCGGATCAGGTGGAGCTGTCAGCACGAGGATGACTTGGTGCGTGCGCTGTTCAGGTGACGAGGCTTGGCCCGCCAATCATCTACGAGCACCTGCGAAGTAGGTGCGCTGCTGTTCTGCGGGAACAATGCTGGCACACCGTCAACCTGCAGCGTTGGCACGCCGTCGACTTTGCACTGCTGGAGCGCGGTCGACCAAGTCGTGCTGGAGCGCGGTCGACCAAGTCGTGCTGGAACGCGGTCGACCATGCTGTGCTGGCAGTCGACCGACCTGAATGCTAGCTCTGATGTAGTCTTGCCATGCCAACTGATTTGGACCATTATTGTCATGTTTTCCTAGTGAAACTCTTGCCAATTCTCCCCGTGAACTAGCAAGCAGCGTGAACACAAGGAAACGACTAAGTGAACGAACGCAGAGATCACACGAGCACCCGTGCCTAGCCCGTAGTCTAGCTCCCGTTGCAGCAGTTATCTCCGCATAGTCGTCATCAACCAGCATAAAGTATCGCTCGCGGCCTTGTCCTTGGACGCGGGTTGGGCCCCACACGTCCATGTGGAGAGTCTGCAGGAGAGCAGTCGTCGGGGGAAGCGAGGAGGAGTGGGGAGCGGCGCGCTGCCGCCCCTCGACACAGGGAAGGCAGGGAGGGGCAGGCGAGGGTGGGAGGAGAGGCAGAGACCTGGGAAGACCAGAGACAAGGAGGCGGGAGTGCATGCCACGGAGGCGTGGCAGAGAGGGGTGACCAAGGAGTGGTGCCAAAGGAGAGTCTGGTGCGACAGGAGGCGACACGAACAGGGAGCTGCTAGCTGACCTGACGGGGACGCAGACGCAGTAGTCAGTGTGTAAAGGCTCGACCCAGGCCGACGGGTGAACGTGGCCAGGTGACGGTCCATTCGTGCATACGTGCAGATCGCCACACGCTGTCCTCCAGGAATAAAGGTATTGACCCATTCATCCTGAAGGACTGCGTTGCTCACCAAGTTCGTAGAGAACGAGGGGAGGTGAAGACCTGACAGTGAGCCAGACGGAACCGCTGGACACGGGAGAACAGTGGAGGAACGTGAAAGGTCCCCTACAGGGGTCGGCCAGAGAGATTGCAACCGGTGCTGCGAGTGGTGTGACTGTGGTGCTGTCGCGAAAGAAGCAGCGGGAAGCACTTGAGTCAAGCGTGAAGGTGTGCAAGGCCTCAGCAGGCGCAGTACCAGAGAGAGCAGACTCACCAGCACCTAGAGCAGACTCACCAGCACCTGGAACAAACTCACCAGCACCTAAAGCAGACTTACTAGCACCTAAAGCAGTAGCCCTAAAGGACACAACATAAGCAACTTTATAGTTTGACACTTCATACTGGGTACTTCTTGCTCTTGTTGCGTACAGAAATGTACCTGACTTAGTTTCATGTCGCAACAAACCAAATTATAGTTTGTAGATATATTTAGATTTTGGATTTTACTAGAGAAACCCCTCTTAGAATCAACAAATTGACATACCTTGCAATGGTTTATTCAGTTTTTTTCAATAGGATGTTCCCATGCATGGCTCAAAGTTCCATTGTCAATTGTAATTATCTATTCTGGCTTGTATGTTCTTCTACTTTCTATCAAACCCGATAAATACACCTTTGGCTCTTCCATTCATAGTAACCACTAAAGGACATAGTTAAGCCGCTATTGCGGGTACGTCCAGCTTTTGCATGCAGCCCAGAATTCCGTCCCAGAGCTGCGTATTCCCTTCCCCCCCCCTCTCCCCTTTTTCCTTTCCGCGCTAGCACACACGCATCACCTCACCCTCCTCCCCTCCCCGGATGCTCTGTCTGTCCCCCCGCCCCCGAAACTGGTGTTTTCCGCCGAACATCCCCCCGGTGTACATTCTCGTCCAGGTACTTCACCCACACTGCTCGTACCCCTTGGTAATTTTCTCCCATCAAAGTTCCCTTGGTAATGGATGCCACAGCGTGGCTCAACTCCGCGGCGCGTTTAGCCCGTCCCACAGATGCGTCGGACCTTCTCGGCGCTGCTGCAGCAATGGACGCCCTGGCGCGGCGCAATAGGATGGAGGAGGAGACGCAGCGACTTCTCAAAGTCATATTCGGGGACGCTGACGTGGCTCCCCGCACCTTACGGGAGCGGGACGCCGTCGTCCCTAGGTTTTCCAGGAGGCGCTTCGAGGCACCGTCCCTGGCAGTCGCCTCAAATACCGGAACTGTAGAGCCGTCGATAAAGTCGGATCTCTTGGTTAATGTGGCTAGCGAATCCGGGATACAGCAACCAACAGTAGCGTCATTTACGGCGCAAGATGCGGGTTTGATTGAGCGAAAACTGGAGCTTTTGGAGCGGATTCAGCAGCAACGCCTGCAGGAGCTGGAATGGGAGTTGTTGCAACAACAGCAGCATCAGCAGCAGCAACATCAGCAGCAGCAGCAGCAGCAACAGGCGATAAAAGGTACCCATACGGGCTTCGTGGCTGATTTGCACAGTGCGTGTTCGTCGCTTCCTCCATCGATTCCGGTCTCCTCGTCGAGCGGGATCGCCGGCGCGTGCAACGGGTTTGGCGGTGTTACCGCGTGTTCTGGCAGCGGAGGAGGGAGCGGGCTGGCCTTTAGTAAGCATGGCGACGAGGCGGCGACGGCGTACCGATGGAGTAATGCTTCTTCAGCCGGCGCGACGGGTATGCGACCGGCTTGAACGACGATGTTATGCGACGGGATGGGTGCATGCGACGGAATGGGTGCATGCGACGGGATGGGTGCATGCGACGGAATGGGTGCATGCGACGGGATGGGTGCATGCGACGGAATGGGTGCATGCGACGGGATGGGTCGATGCGACAAAATGGATGCATGCACGATGGGGTTCGTTCGCTTCTGCCGTTCTCGAGCACAAGACGTCCCTTTTTCCGCCCTTCTCCCTCCCCCAGGGCCCCTCCGCCTCTCTCTCTCTCTCTCTCTCTCTCTCTCTCTCTCTCTCTCTCTCTCTCTCTCTCTCTCTCTCTCTCTCTCGCTCGCTCTCTCTCTCTCTCTCCCCTCTCCCTTACCTTTTGTCTCCATCGCTTTCGCTCATGCTGGCTCGTTCACTTCCTCTTTCCCATCACGTGCGTCTGCCTATGCGTGTGGTGCGCGTGCGGTGCGCGTGCGGTGCGCGTGTGGTGCGCGTGTGGTGCGCGTGCGGTGCGCGTGCGGTGCGCGTGTGGTGCGCGTGTGGTGCGCGTGCGGTGCGCGTGCGTGCGTGCATGTGAACCCTCACCAGGTTCCCTTATATCCACGGCAGCTCGCGCCAACAACAACGCGTCCAGGCCTGCGCACTCCGCCTCCGCCTCTGTTCCCGCCTCAGCCTCCACCTCCGCCACTGTTTCCGCCGCCGCCTCCGCCGGTGTTTCTGCTTCCGCGCGAGTGCACGCCCTGCTTGCCTCGCTACAGCACCTCATTGTCCCCTCGCCGTCCGTGCTCCCCGCCGCCACCGCGTAATGCTCTCTGCCTGAAACCACTCCCTCCCTTAGCGTCGGTGTGCTTTTTCCGCCTTTCGTCGCTCGCTCATTCTCGCCTTTTTCTCTGGCCACTTTTCCCCTCTGCCACCCTCCCCCTTTCCCAGCCTTTCAGTCCCCCCCCATCGTCCCCTCCCTCCCTCCATCCCTCCCTCCCTCCCTCCCTCCCTCCTTCCCCTACTTCTTCTCCTTTTCCCACTTTCCCTGTAATCTTCTTTCTCTTGATCTCTCTCATGTTCATGGTGCTTTGGCTCCTGTTCCTTGTCACTTCATGCATTTCTTTCTGTGTGGTTATGATTATTGGATCCGTGTGCTTGATCTGCCTATATGTCTGTGCCTGTGCGGCCATACAGCAATGGCTCAAGCTCTTCACATCAGATCTCGGGATTTCCACTGGCGGCCACGCTGCCAACACCAACGGCGCAAGCAGCCGCGCCACCACCCGCGCAACACATCATTCACAATCAACAACAGCAACGACTGCAAAGGCAGGAGCAGGAGCAGCAGCAGCAGCACCAGCGGCAGCAGGAGGAGCAGCAGCAGCACCAGCGGCAGCAGCATGGGTCCCTATTGGAAGGTCAGTCGGATGATCCGTGAGCCTTCCATGATGTCCTTTTCTCTCTCCGCGTTTCCTGCTCCTCTTGCTTCTCTCTCCATGCTCCTCCCTCTCTCTCTTCACTTCAAGTGCTCACAGCTTTCGCGCCTCCATATCTGAAACTTCCCCCCCCCTCTGCTCCCTGTCTTCCACACCCCCCTTCCTCCCCTTCCCCTCGCTCCCTCCCCTTCCACTGTCCCCTACAGCACACGTTCCCATGTTCTCCAGTCGCACTCTCGCCCCCATGTCCCTGCCTGGCGCGCCACTCGCCAGGCCCCTTTCTCACCCCGGTCCCACCGCCCTCCCTCCTCCACCTCACCACCTCTCCGCCTCCTCCCTCTCCTTCTCCACCGCTTCTCTCAGCTCTCTCCCATCCGCCTTCCCATCTGCTTTCCCTCCTCACAACATCCCCGAGTCTGTTCTCTCCCCCTCCTCTTCCGCCGCCGCCGCGTTTGCTCCTGCAGCGTCCGCTGCAGCTCTCCTTCCATTCGCCCCTGGCAGCAACCTGAACCTGCATTCGCATGCATCAGCACTGCCGCCCATGATAACTGATGCGCCAGTGCTGTCTTCTACGCCACAGCCCATGGTACCAGCACCAGTGCTGGCACCCGCGCTACCACCCATACTGCCAGTACCAGTGCCAGCAGCACCAGCAGCAACAGTGCCAACATGCACTATAAGCAGCCGCCACAAACGGTGAGTGAGTGTGGGCGTGGATAAGTAAGTCTTGTACTTTCCTTGCCATACTCACTCAGTAACCACCACTCATCGGTGTATACACACTGTCCATATTGTTAGTCAGCTCAGCTGTTCTTTGTCCTCTCCCCTCTCCCCGTTTTTGCCCTACTTCGTCAGATTCACTCACGACTTTGTAAACTCCCAGGCACTCAACTACTTTCCTCCGTTCTCTGTATCTTCTGCTGTGCGTGTCCTTCCCTGTGGCATGCAATGCTCGTCTTGGCCCCTGGCCCATGCACGCGCCACCTGCTCTTGTGGCGCCGTGCATGGCGGGGTGTGTATGTGGGGGTTGGGGGGGCGGGGGGCCGGGATGGCAATGGCAAGCAGGCTGCTGCGCAACAGGGTGAACGCGCAGCAGGCGAGGGAGAGGAAGCGGTACCGGGCAGCAGCAATGGAGGAGCGCTGTGAGGCGCTGGCGCAGGAGAACAGCCAGCTGGAGGCTGCTGTTGAGGCCGTGGCAAAGGTTCGTATGTGCTGCTGCTGCTGCGGTCATTGCTGTGAATGCCATTGCCGCTGATGCCGGTTCTGCTGCTGCCAGTGCTTCTGCTGCTTCTGCTGTCAGTGCTGCTGCTGCTACCATCAGTATCCTTCATGTCCCTAAGACTTGTTTCATGTCTCGACTTGTTTCTTGTGCAGGAGAATGAGCGGCTTCGACAGTTGGTTCGCCGCGGTGTGGTGGCCAGGGAGTAGAGATTTGAGTAGCCTAAAAAAAACTGTTTTCTGAGGGGACCCCAGCTTTTGCAGATGGTACTGTGGGACGTGGTGGGCAGGAGGCAAGTGGGTAAGCGCGGACACTGCAAGAGCAGCTAGCTGAGGTGCAATGTTTGCCTGAGTTGCCTTCCAGCTGCTTGAAATGATGGTGAGGGTTGATGGTGTGTGGTGTGAGTGAGGATATCGATTTGCTAGTCACATTCCTGACAGGTGTAGGGAGAGGGGGGGAAAAGAGGTGCAGCCTGATTGGCTAAAAGGGATCGGCAGTACAAGGCAGCGGGGGAAAGTTAATATGGCGCTTCTAATGTGTGCCTCGTTCAATTAGGATAATCTACCTTTCTTTCCCCTTTTGCTGGAGCATTTGTTAGTCCTGTAGGGGGTGGGCCTTGCTGCTGTATATATCATTTGTATCATAGAATGATTACTCCCACATATCTCTTGTACCAGTTCACAGTACTCCAATTTCATATTGCATAGCACCACAAACAAAACAATTGAGAAAGCTTGCTTTCTGTTCTTGCAAAGGCAACGTGCTTCATTACAGTTGCAGTAATTACATCATTCTCGTCCAACCTAATTATAGATTACATCATGTATACGACTAGGGTGGGTGGGTGGGGAATGGTCTCAGAATAGGAATGCAACGGAATGGATGAATTTAGAAAGCTTGCTTTCTTATACTGATCATTTGGCATCGTTCTCATTGCAACTGGGCATCGTTCTCATTGCAACTGGCAAATTACAACATGCACCTCGAGCTAGACAATATAGATGCTAGTACATGACCTGATTCCACCTACCATAGCATTGTACTAGCTATCCTGCATTATGCGTGCGTACTACCAATCATATGACTAACTGTCTGTCCTCCTGTTCCAGCGGCGTCGCAGATGTCCTCGGTGTCAGGGTGGGGGGTGGGAGAGTTGCATGAGCCGTTGGAAAATGAGAGACGTGGGTGGAGGGAAATGAGCTCCAACCCACGTTTTGTAGTTGGAGAAGGGCGTTTAGCGCGCTTCGACGATGCCAAATCTGCGTTACAGGCAGCTGCGCTTTCGAAATACGTAATTTTGAAAAACACTTCGTGTGTTTAAAAATTATCATATTTAGAAAGCTTGCTTTCTTATACTGATCATTTGGCATCGTTCTCATTGCAACTGGGGTCTCTGAGACATGGGCAGCGGGGGCTTTCGATGGCGGACGAGTGCCTCGGCATGCTGCGCTGAAGAAGGGGCGTATGCCAGATCTTGCAACTGACGGGAGGCGTTGACGAGGTGTTCGGCGTTGGGCGTGACGTACATCTCCTTCGCTGTGTCGCTGCGCCATCTGCCCAGTCGTTTGAAGATTCTGTCTGGCACACTGGTGTTTGCCGCGGCAGTGGCTGCTCCTTTGCGAAAGGAGTGAGTGCCCAGCTGCTGTTCTCCTAATCCGATCCTCCCGAACGCTTCTTTACACCAGTTTCGGATCGTCGGGTATGATGGCGGCCTTGCTTGGCCACTTTGGGGTGAACCGCGTCCAAAGACTCGAATAAGTGGCCCCGCGGACTGCTGGTTGTACCCCGCAAGTTGGATGAGTCGTCGGGTGCAGCGGACGGGGCAAAAGGGGTCATGAGTTGCGGCGATGGGTATCCATGTGCCCCTTCCAGCTTGGTCCGTCTTGGAGTACGGAATTAGAATCCACATGACCTCGTTCTCGAACTGGATGTCTTGCCACTCGATGACGATGAGGTCCGAGTATCTTAAAAATCCGGTGTACATGAGGATGGGGATTAGCCCCTTTTGGAACTCTCCTGGGTTGTCGGATTGCAGGTAGCTGGCAGACATGTCGTGGACTTGTTGCAGCGAGACAGGCTCCTTCACTCGCATGGGGCGAGGGCAGTGCCTTTTTGCGAAATCGCGTACTTGAGTGGTGAATGGTCCGATCGTTGGGCAGATGCTCCCAGTCATGCGGTGTGCAAAGCTCACGGCTGAGCATGTGAGTTGTACCATGGACAAGGTGGCTTTGTGTTGGATCGCGTACACCAGGTACAGCGCGAGGGTCATGTCCGCCGTGGGGAGGAATGGGAGGTTCACCTTTGCACAAAAGGCTCGAAACTTGACCCAGTATGGCTCATATGTTCGGATTGTTGAATCGGCCCGAGACTGGGAGAGCATCTTTAGAAGCTGGACTTGTAGCTTCGGCAACACGTCTGCGCACAGGCGTATGGGCGGGTTAGTTGAAGACCACTCGTAGTGCAATGATTGTGCTATGAGGCAGTCCTGTGCCTGAGAATGCAGTGCGGTGCGTTCCTACTGCTAGACATTGGCTGCCGTGCGTCAGGGGAATGTGCGCTCTGATGTGCGGGGCCCAGTTTGGTGGGGAGGGTTGTAAGAGTGGCCACCAGTTTGCCCCCGTCCAGTGTGGGGCAATTAGGGTAAGTGATGCGTGGGTGCGTTGTGCGTGGTGGATGACTGCTGGGATCAGCTGGGGTGGTGGGAACGCGAAGCCATTCTCGGCTGTCCATGAGCATGAGAATGCATCAACCGCAGTAGCCTCTGGGTGAGGGATCTTTGAGCAGAATCGTGGCAGATGCGAGTTGCGATGGTTCGCGAAGAGATCGATGGAGTGGGGTCCCCAGCGGCGATCAAGGATTCGGAACCATGGTTGCTTCAGTGAGTAATCGTCATGGTCGATCAGTTTCGACAGCTCGTCGGCATGGGAGTTAAGCTCACGCGGGATCCATTCGACAATTAGTCGAGTGCCGAGCTCCATGCAGGTGCGAATGATGTCCTTGCAAGCGTTGGTCAGGTCGGGGGTGCGGGAACCGCCTTTGCGAAGGATGAAGAAGACCCCTTGGTTGTCCACCCTCACGAGCACGTGTTTCCGTCGGACCTTGTTCGCGTACGTTCGGAGGGCCCATAGGACACCTTCGATTTCCCGTCGGGTGCTGGACGTTGCGTGCAATGGTTCTGGCATGGCTGCACTGGCTTCTTCGAGTTCGCCAGGGAAGGTGAGCGGAGTGGCACCCCAACTGTGGGAACTGGCGTCCACGTGGATTACGGCGTCGTAACTGTTCCGGACGTGGAATGGTGCGCCGTTGAATCTATCGAACTCCTCAAGCCAGAATTGCAGCTCCTCGGCCACAGACGGGGAAATGCTCACACTGCTTCCCCAGGATGGCGCGTCGTTGATCGCTTGTAACATGGCGTGGCTGAATGCGCGCGCCGTGGCACCTAGCGCGACAGCCATTGACGCGAGCGTGCCAGTGATTCTAGCCAGGTGGCGGACTGGGACCTGCCGACGTGCTTTGCTTGCGCCCAGGAGATTGAGAATGTGTGCATGAAGTGATGCTCGTCGATCGGTGCCAATGGAGAATTGTCCGGAGTTGGTATCCAGCTCGACGCCCAAGAATCGCAGGTGTTGTGACGGTGACAGCTGCGACTTTTTCGCGTTGATTACCAGGCCCGCCATCTTGAGGTCCGAGATTATCATCTGGCACGTTGCTTGTGCATGTGCCTTGGACTTGCATAAAAACAGGATGTCGTCCACATAGGGTACAACTCGGATGCCTTGTTCGCGCCAGCGCCTGGCTAGTTGTTTGATGAGTTGTGTGAAGACAAATGGTGCTGTCGCGAGGCCGAAGGGCAATGAGCGGAAAGAGTACGTGCTCCCCTCAAATTCGAAGCCGAGGAATGTCCAGCATGAGTGGTGTATGTCGATGTGATGGTATCCGGATTTGAGGTCGATGGAGAACATCCAGTCGCCTGTGCGTGCCAGGTCGGCAACGCGGCTTAGCCCTTCGTATTTGAATTTGGGGATGATTAGTTGCGCGTTCACTTTCCGGAGGTCGAGAATAAGCCTGCATTTGTCACGTTGCTCAACCACGTTGAGTGGGCTGATGCATGTTAGTTCCGCTGCTGGGGTAGCTACCGCCGCTCCGGTATCTGTCAGTTCGCGAATGGCAGTGCGTGTGAATGCCGCGTGTGTGTGCGCGCCGAGATGGTTGCGCTCGTGAAACGGTTGTGGGGGGTTGTGGCTCCATGGTAGCCAGTAGCCGTTGGCGATGACCGAGAGGATGAGGCTA